ATTCAAAAATGTATGTTTATAAGCTTTTTAAAATTTCTATTTAAAACAATATAATAAGAAGTAAAATAAGACAAATAGGTTACCAATCATATGAAATTAGTATTAATAAAAAAATAATTTGTACTACAGAGGTGGCACAGAAGTAGGCCTGTCGCAATAATCAATATATCGACTTATCACGCAATATATGTACATGACCTCAATAATTTTTGGTGACGCAATATATCGCACATTATATTTACTTAAAAATTAATGTCACCATGTTTTGTACATTCCACTTGTGCCTGTGTCTTTTGCAGCTTCTCGTACATAACGTGGTGTAGTCATGAGGTCCTAGTTCAGATTTAAAAAATGCTTCTACAAAAAAAAATTTCATCTGCAGATACGGTCTTGTTTAGGGATCTGTGCCTTTGTGCATGCGGACATCTGACTGCTAAGTAGTGATTGTGTTTTTCAGCAATAGTGTGCAGCCTTAATTTACAGAGAAAATAAGTTCAGGGAAAAATCTGTAGATGGAAAAATCTCCATTCAAGTTCTTTATGCATTTTTATTTTTTTCTACTTGTTACTTTACACTTTTTGCTAGAAAATGTTTATTTATTTATTCAGGTTTTTTAAGGTATCTAATATTTTGATACTTAATTTCCATGATCTAAATATTCTTAAAAATTAAAAGTTTGTTGTCATTTGGAAGCGTGTAGGCCTTCTTGCATTATTATGCTGTTACATTATGATTATATATTCAGTAGTTTAAAATGGTCTTTAAAATGACAATAATATCGCTTATCGCAATTATTTCTGGGGCAATATATCGTACAACAAAAAGTTGTTATCGTGACAGGCCTATATGTATGTTTGAATAAATGAATAAATCTGGCATAAAGACAGGTATTCATTTTATGTGATGAGTTTTATACATTTCAATTTTTATTTAAGAGTGTAATTATGATATCTGAGAATAAATGGCAGTTGAATATAATAGCTCTCTTGTTCATTTTAACCTTTAATATTATAGCAATGTACCAAATGAGAGAGTTTCCTTTATAGTACTATCGGTATCGGCATCAGTATCGGCAGATATCGTTCTGGATAATCAGCTAACAGTATCAGCTGAGACATTTAGTATCAATGTATCTCTAATAAATATTAGATGAAAACCATTTACTTTAACTGAAATAAAGCTTAAGTACCAAAATTAAAAACTTAAATAAAAATAATGAAAATAGAAATAGAAAAACAATAGAAAAAAGCTAAATAGACATATTAGAAAACTAATAATGACAAATGCACATTACTAAAACTTAAACCAAAAGTCAAATCAAAACTGAAAAAGGTATGAAAAAATACTATAATAGTACTTAATTAATAACACTACTAAATAGTGTCTTAATTTTAGTAGTATACTGTATCTATTATTTTTCCATTTAAAACCTAACCTTTTTATGTTTAGTGAAAAGTATATTTGTCCTTTTATGTTGTTGTTTTCATGTTTTGTTGTGCAGTAAATTTTACACTGCTTAAATGTCCAGTCTTTTGGGGGGCCATGTAGATTTTAGATATAATCTATATTGAATCTAAGTGCTGAACAGCTCCACACAGACTTATGATGCTAAGCATCAAATAGAAATGTCAAAATGTCAGCACCAAAATCTCTGGAGAATAGCATCTCGGCAGACATATATATATATATACATTTAAAAATATATACTTTTTTTTCATATTAACTGTCTGCCAAGATGCTGTTCTCAAATTTCTATTTGATGCTTTTTTTGTTTGTTTTTTTTGGGAAAAAAGCTATTTCTGTCAGCAGCTAGAAAAGTATGAATCCTGTCTAAGTTTTCTGTAACTCCTCTCACTGTTGGAATCGGCTATGAGTCACAGTCAGAATCAGTTCTTACAGCTACAGTGTAACTTTTCCAGTGCTTTAGTTTGTAATCTGTGCCAATAGCACCACCAAAAGGAACTGCAAAAATAATGACTGTTTTCAGACAGGTTTTTCAAACACTCTACCTGGCTGCTATTGGTAAGGCCAATGGATAATCAAATCAGCGCTGGTTTTGAAGAGTGTGCAACTGCGCATGTGCATAAATGTGTAAGGGAACCTCGGAGTATGACATAAGAAAAAACACACGAAGAATCAATGAGTTAGCAGTTAATACTTCACCACCTGTGAGTGATGTCAATAATGACAGTCCTATATTGTTGAACCAGTGCGGTTCAAATAATGGAAGTGCAACTACGGTTTCGTCATTACTAGCTATTTAATATGTTCAACAAGGCATCATACAGCAGTTAAACAGCAACTTACATCATTGTATTGGAAATGCATTCCTGGTCGGGTAGATCACACTAAACAGTTTTGATAGAGCTACAAAGTTTATACATTTCATGAGAAACAACTTATAAATGACTTAACTGAACTACTGCAAAAACAACTTTTAACAGTTTGGTTATTTGAGTCCCAAATGTTATTTGTCCAAAAACAAAACCTGTTCAAGTCTCAGATCAGCCACTAAACAAAATTACAAAACAAATGTTTTGAAAGTTGTTTTCTAATTTCGTTTATTGCCACTGTTGGCACAGAAATTAAACACTGCGGCTGTAAACAGGAAATGACACGTACCCAGTCTAATATCCAGCCTCTTTTCCAGGAGGAAGATATTACGTTATGTATGGAACCAGAACCAGTGACATTAATTCCATCTCCAGTAACGCAGAGAGAGGAAGTGACCTCAATGGGAGGAAGCAGTCCAGGTCAAGCCCCTGGAGAATTCAGCACAGAGCGCAAGGCGTCTGATGTCTCACCGTCTGTAATTGAAGAGCTTGAGGAAAAAGAGGAGGAGTCTGAATCGTCGCCTGTAGACGTCACGGCAGCCAACTAATTGGCCGGCATGAGACTTGAGCTTGTTTTGACATTTCAGTCAGCATACTCAAACAATATCAACTCCTATTTCAGGAATCAAACACCATTGTGATGGAATTCAAGTGACTGCTCGAACCCAAAATGGAAAAGCAGAACTGAAATGACTGCACTGCTTACGTGAAAACTATGATTTATTTTTTGTAAGCCTTATATTATGGATGTCTGAAAAAGGAAGGCACAGAATGGGAAATCCTTGGGACTGAGAAAGGAGAGAATGAGGAAAACCAAGTTGGAGGTATGTAATTCAGGATGATAAATATGAAGAACATTCGGTTAAATATGTGCATGCTTTTACAAGGAGTGATGGCACTCGTTATTCAAAATAAAGAAACTATAGTTAATAAACCATAATGATGATAATAATATGATTATTTTCTAAGAAAACAACAAAAAATGAAATATATAATTGTAAAATAGACAGTAACACAAGTTTTTACAACCCATGCCCTTCAGAATTTCAGTTCCCACACACCATAAGAGATCAAATACACTCAATACAACACAAATGATCCCTTTTCCTCTTCAGTTTTCACCCTGTTTACTTCCAAACACAATCCTTTATATATAAAAAACAAGATTTGGCAGTTTATGACACTGCTGGGAGAAACACTGGTTCAATACAGAAGTTTCTGTGCTGTGAAACATAAAAATCAATTAACTGAAACAAACCACTACACACTTCTGTCGGCTGTGTATTCAATATGTAAGTATGTATTCAAACCCTCATTAACTCAAGCCAATAGATGTTGTACGTACCAATCAAAAGTTTGGGGTCGGTAAGATTTTTGAAAGAACCTTCTTTTTTACCAAGACTGCATTATTTGAACAAACATGCAATAAAAAAACAGTAATGTTACAAAAATATTATTACAATGTAAAATAACTGTTTTCTATTTTAATATTTTTTAAATTGTAATTTATTCTTGTGATGCCATAGTCTTATCTTATCATTAATTGCATCTTTGCTCAATAAAATAATTAATTTCTTTCAAAAATCTTACTGAATGGTCAAAAATCGTACTTTTGAACAGTCGTGTACATATACAAATATATACACCTATACCTGTGATGTTCTCCCATACTGCCATACAAAACTGAAAAGGAAATAACTGAGAAAAAATCAAATTGATGAAATCACCCAACTTAATAATTTTTTTAATACATTTTTAGACTTTATTTTCCACATAATTGGGCCCATTTCTATTTATTTTTATTTATTTAATAATTTAATTTATTTATTTTTTGTAGTAGTAATACAAACTTTTTCACGCACACACATGTACACACAGATATATTTCATACTGGAGTGTAACATAGCGTGCTTCCTTCTCTGTGTGTCGTTTGGCATGCATGATGTTTGTCAGTGTCCGTGTACTCTGGAGTCCTATACAACACTGTATAGATATTTGCACTGGACCTCAGTACTCTGAGCTGAGACTGACTCTGTGAGATCTGTGTGTTTAGCGACTTGATTGGCTGCTTAAACGAGAGAAATGTTTTGGGGGAAAAAACCTTTTTGCACTTGCATTGGTTGTTGGGTGAAGGACAGATGCCTTTTAGATGGAAAATTAACTCTTTTATGAGACAACTGTACTTGAGTTCTGATCCCAAATTTTTGTTTTTGCTCTGGTTTAGTCAAACACTGGCTTAAGGATGGTTTTGAAATATCTAGATTAATCGATCTCATGATAAATGACAATTGAGAGGAGAAAGATGGATAGGTAATGCCTCATAACCTCAAATTACTAAAATAGAAGAAAACTACAGTAAACATTTTTGTTTTGAACAGTCCTGTTGGCGACTCGTACATGTACTTGTTGTTACACTTGCAGGACCAGTTCTTGATGATTACTTAATTTTTATAATAAAGTAATGTCATAATTTCTGTTCCAAAATATGTATTCCATTGCCTACAATTCTTTTCACTATATAATAAGGGGAGAATAGAACAGGACCTGGATTCACATACTGTAAATATCCTTTACCAAGATATCAAGGAAAAATGTCTCCACAGAATGAGAATGGAAATGGACTTTGATTCGAGTTGAAAGTGACCTCATGAACAACTCAGGCCATTTGGAATTTCCGAACTGCACAGGCGTCTTCCTGTTTGTCATGGTCACTGATTATACAGTAACTATGATGCTACAAACTTTGCGTTGACTGTGTATTTGTTCGTAAATGAACATGAAGCATATGCATCCCAAAGTATGAGCAGACTTCCGGTTCAGAAACAGAAGTAACTACATCATCCTGCATTGTGATGTCATGCATGATTCACCAAGGATTAAAAGAAAAAAAAGGACAACTTGTAGACGGTTATTACGAGTTTCTTTGGACGACACGTTCACCTTTGACGATTGTGTGTAATACAAACTTGGCGGTGAGAAGAAATAGCATTAATAGCTATATGAAGTGTACTGACTTGAATGAATTTATTTATTGACTGATTATTTATGAAATGTTGGGACAATGTTTATTTTTCTACAGAATTGTGTGCACTCCCTCCTGTATTTGTTGGGGTACATATTATTTCACTGCTGGACTCTTGAGGAGGCTCTGACAGATTTTTGTGTACAGTATTTGTGTACTTTTTGTCACTGAAAAAAATCATACACATTTTCTTAAACGTCTTGTTGTATGTCATAATGTTTTAATATGATGTTTTATATTAGCTTATATAAAAATATATAACAACAGAGTCTACATCATTGCATGTAGCAGTCCAACCATAAAACTGAAACATAACTGCTATATTTTTATTCAGTGTCATAAGTTCTTATATTATGTGAAGCATACAGAACTCCAAAAGTTGCTCACATGAAATAACATGTGCCCATTTATTTATTTAAGAATTATATAGGGGAGGGATTTAACTTTGCAGCCTGTATGATATCTCTTTGTTATTTCGAGATAAATGCACCTTTGGTTGTAATGGTATCACTTTGGTTTGGTGAAAATATGTCAAACTGTACATGTGATCATTCATCTTCCTCAGTTTTTTTTTTAAAGCATGAAGCAAAATGATAGTCAAACATAACGATTTCTTTATCTTCTATCTTTCACAGTAGTATGTTGTTCTGCAATCAGCACGATTCTTTTCCGAAAACTTTATAAAAAAAAAAAAAAAGTTCATTTACATCACACAATGATGCAATAACTAAATCCACGTGTAAGCGTATATTGTTTTTTTTTCCATAATTAAATTATAATAATGAGTTTCCTATGTTATTGAGTTTAGTAGGCTAATTATGTGCAAACGCAGATGTTTTACATGTCTAAAGCATACAAAGAGAATAAATTAGTCTCAAACTAACTAAATTAGTCTCAAACTAACTCAAACTTGTAACCTTTGTAAAACTAACTGCCAATCACTGAGATGTTTCCTGTATCCAAAATTGCATACTTCCCTACACTAGCCTATTGGCAGTGAAGACAAAAATTACACTGGTAGGTCACGTGATAACGACAGATTATGTATGAATGTAGTACGTAAAGATTACATACTATACAGAACATACTTTTTTATTGGTCACAAAGTAATTACTTGGGCCTACTCAAAATAAGTACCTGCTCAAGAGAGTGTGTAATTTTTAACGCAGCCCCAGTACACTCATCGTGTTTATGAAATTCTGGGCTCTATCATACACCCGGCGCAATGCGGCGCCAGGCGCGACGCAAGTGTTTTTTGCTAGTTTCAGCCCGACACAGTTATCATTTTCACGTCCTGCGCCACGCTGTTTAAACAGCAAATGCATTTGCGCCCATTTGTGCACTCATGGGCGTGCTGGTCTGAAAACGAGGTGTGTTCAGGCGCATTGCTGGCGCGTTGCTATTTTGAGGCACCTGAAATAGACCGAGCCATTGACCAACTAAAACCTGGTCTAAAGTCAATGGCGCAGTAGTTTTTTTGTTATTTAAAGAGCACGTTAGTATAGGCGGGTGCATAACGCGTGTACACTTTACTTATTACACACACAGGGCAGTGCCCTCCGTTTTTCCGCTTGTAAATTCCGCCGTGTAAATAGCGAATCCGCCATGGCGCGTGCATAACTGGCTCTTAAAGAGAATGGGAGATGAGACTCTGATTGGTTTATTGCACGTTATGCCCAAAACACACCCATTACTCATTAAGAGATTAGGGACAATCCTTTTAGACCATGCACCAGGCGCACCGACCGTTTTTCCCGTCGTTAAACTAGCAAACGTGTATTCGGTCACGCCCTAAGTGCACCTGCGCCGTGCGCTTTAGACCTTGTGCTTAGATCGTTAAAATAGGGCCCTCTGACTTGTAAGCGCAAAAGTCATTGCTAACTCGTTAAAGTTTATGAACTTGAATTTTATTGCGCTCATATTTGTCATATGGAGCCCAGGAAGTCACCTGTAAGTTACCTTCGCAATCCGAAAGGTTTCCCAAAGGGAACGAATTGCGAAAACCTGCGGTATGTAAAAAAGTTCGAAAAGTTACAGTTTGTTAATTTGGCTGCAGATCGCAAAAACCGAAGGTACAGTTTATAAATCTCAGAGCACAGATTGGGAACTTGTGGGTAGGGTTTATTAGCTGGGCAAGATTTGTTAAACCGAAGAGTTTAAGAATTTTGGGAATATAGTTTATTAACCATACGAGGGGGGACGAATTGCAAAACTGTGGCCACGATTTGTGGGGGGCGGGTTTTGTTGTTGTTTTTCCTCCCTCATCTCATGATTACTTTAAGCCTGTCTTGGCATCGTGTAGATAACTAAACCCAGTGCTACTTTTGTGTATCTTTATCGCAAACACATTCTCATTTGAGATAAAAACGCAACTGGTGCCATCTTGCATTTCAGTTATCGATTGAATTTGAAAATAACCTCAGAAGACCTGAGTTTTAGCCTACTGTAAAGTTGTCACAGTGTTAATCATGTTGCTAAGCCGATTGTTTTGTACATTGTAGTATCGGAACATGAAAACAAGACACCAGTGCTCTGACTCTACTGTAGGCTACATTCTTTCTTAGTAAGACATTTAAAGGAATTATGAATGCACACTTTGTCACATGAGGGATATTAAATGACCTTGTCAATTCAAGAGCACCAACTTCTTTATTTACTCTGTTGTGCCTGTAATTCCTCTACCACATTTTAATGAGTCCATTTCTGAAAAATGCCTCAAAGATTTTAATCACATAATCAACCAATCAAATTAACACGGCAATCACACAAAGCCAGGTCATACTGCTGCAACCAAAGGGGTGATGTCATGTTCTCTTTTATTGCTTTTTATGTAAGATAAGGAATATCCGAATGAATAAATAACAAAAAGCCAAATGTATTTCCTTGGATGTAGTTGTTTATCATTTGTGTTTACAGATGAACTGATCTCAAATGGATTTTTTTTTTGTACGATTCTACTGCCATCTTTCACTACAAAACTGTCTGTTGGCATGATGCTGTAACCGGTCCTTTGTTCTACCTCTTTCCTTCTCTCTGTAAACTAGCGTAGCCTACTTGTCTTTCTCTCCTCCTCTCTCGTTCCCTTCGTATGTTATCTGTCTGTTACTCAAACCCTGTGTTGTCTCCTCTTGGTGGAAGAATCATATTCAGAAGAAGTAATACTTTAGATAAGAAACACTGTTGTGATAAAATTTGTTTATAATAACGTTGAACTACGTGGAGTCAACATGTTTAGCAAGCTATACAGGCACACATCCATTCATTTGGGACTAACTGAGCTGTAAGAGTGATATAAGAAGTGCTCTGTGATTCG